CTCATGTGCAATTTTGAAAACCTTTGCAGCCATTGACAACCAAAAAGACGACAGATTTGATTTGGTCTCAAATTGAATACAGTATTGATTGGAAGTTCAAGAATTGCCTCTGCCAAACTTGGAGATTCTTCTGGTATGTTAGTAATTTCACATTTAAAAGGATCTACAACCCAATTCACAGTTTGTACATCAAGATCTGAAAAGTAGTCAAAGAACCGCTCTCTGAGTTTGGTAAGATGAAATTAGAAAAATTTCCCTATTACCCAAAAAAAATTAATTTTTACCCCATTTTGGGTAATTTACCCCGGTTCCCCGACCGCTGGTTTAGACAGTACCGGCAGTAGGCTGATGGGTCTATATGAAGACGCCGCCTCCGTTGGAATACTCATTAATAACATTTTACAAAATATTCTTGTATTAAAGTTAATAATTTAGATTTTTAGAGATACATCAAATTTAATAACTAAAATTTGGTAGCAATTATTAAAAAGTCAAGTACATAATAAAAAGTATAGTTGAATTCGTTGATAAAACTATAAAAATGTTGTCTGTTTTTTGTATCTTTTGAAATATACTTATCGAATGCACTTATATCGCTCAAAAATAAAGAATAATGAATGATTATAAAGTAATCTATCTTTCTCGTACACATTATCATGTGTATTTATTGCACCTATTCTAGATAAACGCTCGAAAAAAACAAAACAAAAAACTGTTAATTATTCAACAAATTGGATATAAATGTGCGCAGGATATGAGCATGGTCATCACAACCAACACGATGTTCGCTCAAGTATTTATCGCAGCCCTTTTTGCTCTTGCAGCCGCTGAAAATTGTCCATCTGGTGGAGAAATCTACGGTAAATAAAAACACAATTAAATTCATTTTTTTTATTTTTAAAAATCTTTTAAATTTTTGCAGCCAGAGGAATCAGCAACGAAGGTAAAATTGCCGTGATCAAGGCCCACAATGACTACAGGATCCAAATCGCTAATGGGCTGGTACCAAATCAACCGCGTGGTGTTAACTTGCAGAGGATGGTGAGTTTAATAACACAATCAGCAATTATTGTTATGTTCTTGCTTTTAATTGCTTCGACAAGGTTACAAAACCAATTGTTATTGCCGTTGCTTATCAACAGAGACATTTGAATGTAACTTAACGTAGTGATTCACGTGTCGTTTCCATATGACCTCAGGCTTCTACGAACTTTTAGCAGAATTTTATAATTATTTCTTTTTTCAACTATCCATCAACAATTAATAACTATTCTTTTTTTTAATTTTCAAATTATTCAAGATAGTAAAAGTGTAGATAACATAGAAATTCTTGTAAGTAATTTCAAAAGTATGCTACATATTTATTGGATATTCGTGCAGAATGTACAATCAAAATGATTTTTTTACTGTTACGAAATATTTAGAAAATTGCTTTAAGTTTTCTTTAAAGAAATGGAACGAAATTTAACAATTTTTAAAACTTTACTTGATTAATCATTTGATATAGGCAACCAAACCATCTACTAAGTTTTTGAATACATGAAAATCTTTTATAACAAAAATTATCATATTTTATGATTAATATTTGTTTATTTTAATAATTATGTCTTTAAATTTATTTATAGATTTACGATCAAGTTCTTGGAGAGAAAGGCAGAGTTGTATCCGACACATGCAAGATGAACCACATCTTAGCTCAAGATGGTAAGTTTATATCTCAATGAAATTTACAATATAAATCTGCAATGGTTTTCTTGTAGATCGTTGGTGGTGGGTCGGACAAAACTTGTACATCCAGTGGAGCTCTCAGAAGGACGATGGAAGACAGGACTGGGAAACAGCTGTAGCCGGATGGTTCAATGAACACGAGGACTTCACCTATCCCAACATATCAGTACCAGGAAAGATGACCGGACATTACACGCAAGTGGTGTGGGCCGATAGCAAATCTGTAGGATGTGACTTCATCTACTTTTACGATGTTGAACAACCGCAATACCCGTACGCCAAATTGTACACTTGCAACTATGGACCAGGGTAAATTATATCAATAGTTTTAAAGACAACATTATGATTAAACATCTTAATATTTACAGTGGTAACGTCGGAGGACAAGTTCCATATGAGACTGGAACTTCTGGATGCGAAGATCTTTGCTGATTTTACCATAATTCATTGTAAAACTATAATCAATAAATTGTAACAATTCATTTAAAACTCTCTAAAATTAATTCAAACTTTCCTAACTGATAAAATTCGATTCCATGATTTTCATATGAACAAACCAACAAAATATTTTGTTATTGTCCGTATTTGTACTACAACTAGATTACATAATGCATATTTGCAGCAAAATGTGTTTCAAATTATATCGAATCATGCAAATATATTGCTTTTACAAAAAAAAGTTTTCGGAATGTGGAAATGAATAAAACAATTTACCAAACGGCGCAAATATTTTACAAACGTTTGAAGTCATTATTCATTTTGAAATAAAATCACGTAAACATTGTTTGCATCAATTTCAGTTTTAATAAACAAATAGTACAAATATTACAATTTGCATTTTCCAAATAATAAAAAAATTAATCATTATTTATAGAATTACATAGAATTTTCAATTATATATTTAAAAACTTACAAATAGATTAATATTTCATTTTTTATGAAAAAAATGCGTATAATTTTATTTATGTAGGTGTTTTAATTACTTTATAATTTAATATAAGAAATTTGACAGGTCGAAAAATGACGTATTTTAAATTATCTTATATTTAGATTAAAAGCTGCTCCCAGAAGGAACATTAACATGAATTTTAATCATGAATCTTCAAAGAATAAACTGAACATAAAAGCATTCATTTAGTTGTTTTAGTTTCTTTGTAAATTAATAACAAATTTTGGTGAATGACAGTTGACAGGTCGAAAATTAACGTTTAAATTTGCGTATATTTCAATTAATAGCTGCTCCTAGAAGAATTATTAATACGAATTTTAATCTTGAATCTTCAAAGAATAAAATGAACATAAAAGAATTCATTCGGTTGTTTCAGTTTCTTTATAAATTAATAACAAAATTTGACAATGACCGTTGACAGGTCGAAAATTAACGTTTTTGAAATGTGCTTATATTTTAATTAATAGCAGCTCCAGAAGAATTATTAATACGAATTTTAATCTTGAATCTTCAAAGAATAAAATGAACATAAAAGCATTCATTCAGTTGTTTTAGTTTCTTTGTAAATTAATAACAAATTTTGGTGAATGACATTTGACAGGTCGAAAATTAACACTATTGAAATTTGCTTATATTTTAATTAATAGATGCTCCCAGAATAAACATTAACACGAATTTTAATCTTGACTCTTCAAAGAATAAACTGAACATAAAAGCATTAATTCAGTTGTTTTAGTTTCTTTGTAAATTAATAACAAATTTTGGTGAATGACAGTTGACAGGTCGAAAATTAACACTATTGAAATTTGCTTATATTTTAATTAATAGATGCTCCCAGAAGAAACATTTGTACGAATTTTAATCTTGAATCTTCAAAGAATAAAATGAACATAAAATAATTGATTCAGTTGTTTCAGTTTCTTTGTAAAATAATAACAAAATTTGGTTAATGACAGTTGACAGGTTGAAAATTAACGCTATTGAAATTTGCTTATATTTTAATTAATAGCTGCTCCCAGAAGAATGATTAATATAAATTTTAATATTGAATCTTCAAAGAATAAAATGAACATAAAAGCATTTATTCAGGTGTTTTCATTTATTTGTAAATTTATAACAAAATTTGGTGAATGACAGTTGACAGGTCGACAATTAACGCTATTGAAATTTGCTTATATTTTAATTAATAGATG